AATCGTCTCAGCCAATCTAATGCGTACATCTGTGTGTGTGTTTGTCAGTCTGTCCACAGACACGGGAACGCTGTTCCCCCCTCCCATCGTGTCGATGGAGTGGGGCCTAGAAGGCTATCACCTGTGGATGGTCACGTGTCCGAGCAAAGCGTCCCGGGGCACGAAGACACGACACAACGACACCAACCACAAGCCCAACTTTGACACGGCGTCGGACGGACAGCACAACAGCAACAACAACAACGGCGCTGGGGACGTCGCCGATGATGAGGAGGAGGAGGAGGGTGATGATGATGAGGGTGTCAAGGACAACCGGTTCAGGGAAGAGAAAGAGCAGCCGCTGTCGACGAACCTGATTCAGTTCCAGTTTTTGAAGAGTGCTCTGACGGTGAATCCGTGCACGGTGAGTGTGCAGGTGCAGCCCTGGGTGGTTGGCGGGTGCTCTGGTGTGGTTTGTTCCTTCTTTCCTATCAGACATCTATCGTCTTTATCTCCCCTCCTTCTTTTTTTTTTTTTTGTGTTTGTTACTCTCTTGTAACACCTCTAATCTTCGGCACTTATATGACCTTATTGTGTTGCAAGGGGCTGTAAAACTCTTACTAAAATTAAAAGCTAAAGCAGGTGCAGCCTCTGAGCTGTCACTAGGTGTGTCTGTCACATTGCGTTACGTCAAAGATAGTACATAACAAGATGGGCCACTCAGTCAAAAAAGTGTCCGCAGGAAGTTCGCTCTTTGCTTCAGATGGCGCTGCAGTCTGTTTTGAAGCTCTCTTTCGTTTTTCCAGAAGAAGAATAGGAATAGCACCTCCTTGCGTGCGCAGATCGACTGCTGTTCATCAGCAGTTTGGGTTCGTTCAGTGCGGACTTTTAAGGGTTTTTTTATTTTAATGACCTCTCGCCTTTCATTCTAAAGTCCAATTAAACGAAGAAAACAATCACCCTTTCCTCCGGAAGAGGTTTTTTTTGTCAGCGTAACCATTTTTAAAAAACGTTCTTCCGAAATTCATTCAAAAACTTGCTAGTTTCACTTTGATTTTTTTAACTCAAGTAGGATAACTCTGTTCGCAAAAGGTGCGCTTTTGCGAAGAGGGCGCCATCGAATTTTGAGGACACTTTTTTAATTGGCTCAAAGAGAGAAGTGGCCCCTCTTGTTATGTAGACTCTTTGTTACGTATAATGATAATATAATGGTAACATTTATTTATACAGCAGCTATTCTAATACGAAGTGGCCTTTGGGGGATCCGGTCAGGTCGGGTCGGTTTACCAGCCAGATTGAGGCCGCAAACTAGCTATCGTGGCACAAACCGATTGCACCCGACTCGTCGCCTAAAAAAACAAACGCATTTATTTTCAGGCGACGAGTCGGGCGATCGATGCAACCCGACCCTATCCCATTCGCAATGGGCACCAGGTGTAAGACTACCAAAACTGCTCTGGACACTTAACAATGTTCACTACCAAAACTGCTCTGGGTAACAATGTTCACTACCAAAACTGCTCTGGACACTTGAAAATGTTCACTACCAAAACTAAATAAATGGAACTTACTTTTAAGAAATCCAGTGGCGCACATTTCAACTTGTACTGCGGTAACTGTAAGGACAAACACAAGGCATTGCGTGAGAAGCAATGTGAGAGTGAATGTGGCTCCTTTGCCAGAATTGACGAGGTTTTGAATTGCTCTAGATAAAAATAGATTTCCTTTACGTTGATCAACTTGTTTTTAGATGGATTGGTAGCCTTCATCGGTTTGAAAACTGTATTTCTTTGTGTTGGAACAGAGGATTAGAGTTCATTTGTATTTTATCAATTGGTTCTTCGACCTCTTCAGACAGAAGACCATGAATTCTTTTCCTGTGTAGGGATGTTTTTATATTGAGTGTCTAAATTGTGTACTGGAATGCTGTAGTCCACTCAGCCTGGGTCAGCCCTTGTGATCAGGGTTTATCCAAGAGGTGGGCAAAATCCGGATAAATATCCGGATAAATATTCGGATAATTGGATAATCCTCAAAAAGACCTTATCCTAATTTAGACTCTTTAACTCTTTTTCATTACCAGTTTTCCGAAGTGGGTCCTCCCATTTGTTGAAGTAGTGCTAACTCGTTTGTCAAAGTGGTTCTAACCCATTTGCCGAACCAGTTCATAACATATTATTTACCGAAGAGGTGCACTAATATATTATCCGGATTTTGCTTAAGCGACTCATTGCGTAGCCCTAGTTTATCCCAATGATCTAGTGACACCGATATATCAGTGTGCGAGTTATCTGCCCCTGCCCCGAAGCAACGATATGTCGGTGTGTGCGAGTTTACCATAGAACAGTAGTCCATACATGGATACAACGATATGTCGGTGTGTGCGAGTTTACCATAGAACAGTAGTCCATACATGGATACAACGATATGTCGGTGTGTGCGAGTTTACCATAGAACAGTAGTCCATACATGGATACAACGATATGTCGGTGTGTGCGAGTTTACCATAGAACAGTAGTCCATACATGGATACAACGATATGTCGGTGTGTGTGAGTTTACCATAGAACAGTAGTCCATACATGGATACAACGATATGTCGGTGTGTGCGAGTTTACCATAGAACAGTAGTCCATACATGGATAAAAAGAGGGGGAAATGACGTTAAAAGGATTTGTAGGTTTGTGGTAACTATTGTTATGGTCAAGGCAGCTTAAAGAAGAGGGAATTAGTTTGAGTAAAGAAGGCATCTTTACTCCGCATGCCTTATTTACTCAAACCAATTCCCTCTTCCTTTTGGTTTGAGTAAAGAAGGCATGCGGTTGGTTTGAGTAAAGAAAGCATGCGGTTGGTTTGTGTAAATAAGGCATGCGGTTGGTTTGAGTAAAGAAGGCATGCGGTTGGTTTGAGTAAAGAAAGCATGCGGTTGGTTTGTGTAAATAAGGCATGCGGTTGGTTTGAGTAAAGAAGGCATGCGGTTGGTTTGAGTAAAGAAAGCATGCAGAGTTCGTGCCATGTGTTGCCACGCAGGATTTTTTTTTTTCTCAGAAAGCCAAGGGACGGGTTATTTTGGGCTTAGGGGGTCAGGGTGTATTGGGTTAAGCAGGCAGCCTGCCTTTTGATTGACCTCAATTGTGTCTGTACAGGCGAAAAACACAACTGCAATTTACAAATTTGTCTTGCGTGTGTGTC